TTGTATGTGTGAAAGATATAGTGGAACTAGAAGACTGTTGATCCTTATACCATTCAAGAAATTTGTTGAACATAACAGGCATGTCAGATGCAACAGAAGAAGGATGATCCCCAGCAGAAAAAGGTGGGGAAAGATTGGTCTGAACAACTGCAATAGATCGAGGAGGACGACCATGTAATGTATAACACTTGTTAATCTTGTGACCTAGCTTGCCACAATGTTCACACTTAGGACGCCCTTTTCCCTGTTTGCAAGGACGAGTCGGTCATCACGATGAGATGTCAACACAAAAGAATCATTAACAAAATTGGAAATAGTAGAAGAAGGGGAAGAAGTCATGAAGAGTGGGAGAACAAACCCTAAAACAATCCAAAGTAATCCAATTAACCCACGAAGCACAAATCCAAAAATGAGAATACTAAAAATAAGTTGTCCAAGATTAAACGACGCAGGAGACAACAGGACGACCAACTCCGATAGTGGTGATCCCAATGGCACGGTGGTTACCTGACCGAGACAAGCAAAATCATATGTCACCGGTCAAAAAATGAAACTCCGGCGAATTCTCCGGTAGTGGCGGATCTGGTGACTGCTCCAGCGGCAGCGGTGATAGCAACGTGAACTAGTACATCAGGTAAGTTCCCAGAAAAGAGAGGTGGGTCACTAATGGACACACTTAAATACCAAGTCTTTCTTTGCCAGAAATTTGTTAGATATGCACTTTCAAACTACCAAATAAAATTTAGTAACAAAGATAATTCTTTTCTGATGTGGAGGATCAATTTACCAGCAACGGTGGGGCGGCTCTAGCAGTGGACAAAAGGCGAAAAAAAAAATTCAAGATAACATTAAGCTCTAGATACCATGTTGAATATAGAGGAAATAAGGTTTGAAATTAATCTCCCTTGTGTATAAATCACACATTGGGTAATCTATTTATAATAGAGAGGTACAACTAAAAGAGTAACCGAAAGTAAATAGAATAAACAGAAGATATTGTTTGATATTGTGATTAACAATATCTAATAATATATTAACAATATCAAACTATATCTAAACAATATCCAAATAATATCTAACAATTATATATAGAGCATAGGATATATTAATGTATCTTTTATACCTTGGTTTATGTACATAAAGGATATATAAAATATTTGTGCAACTTAATTATTTCTTACTTTGCTAGACAGATATAAAAATGGATAAATCATGGATTGATATGCCATGAAATACAATTGAATATTTGGATGGACTGAATAGATTTTTAGATTTTGCATTTGAGAATCGATCTGTCAATGGTGCAATAATTTGTTCATGTCCTAAATGTCACTATGACAAATGGGAAACTAGAGAAGGTGTGTTTGACCACTTGATTTGCAAGCAATTTCCAACAAATTATAAATTATAGATTTGGCATAGGGAGACATATGAAACAATAGCATCAAGGGACAATGAAGTAGTAAATGTGTCATTACAAAATGAAAATCCAATGATAGATATGATAAATGATGCATTTGGGAGGAATAGACAACATGATGTAAAGTCTAACATGTGTGATGAACAAGTTGAGTTTGTATAAACCATGCCCAATGAAGAATGTGGAGAGTATGATGATTTGCTTAGAGATTGCAACCAAGAGTCATATGAAGGGTGCAAAAAGCTTTCGAAGTTGTCTTTTCTATTAAGGTTGTATCATATAAAATGTTTGTGTGGTATGATTGATAAGGCTATGAAGATGATTTTAGAGATATTGGCGGATGCATTTTTATATGCAAAATTTCCTACTTCATTTTATGAGGCAAAGGTGATTTATAAGCTTGATATTAATTATACTAAGATAGATGTTTGCCAAAAAAATTGCATGTTATATTGGGGAGAAGATGAAAAGTTGGAGAGTTGTAAATATTTTAAGAAATCTAGATGGAAAGAAAAGGGTACTAGTAGCAAAAAGAAAATACCAACAAAGGTCTTACGATACTTCCCTTAAAACCAAGGCTGCAAAGATTATTTATGTGTCCAAAAATAGCAAAGTCTATGAGATGACATGTTTTAAACAATAACCAGGATGGACTATTGAGGCATCCAAGAGATGCTAAAGCATGGAAGAGTTTTGATCAACTTCACCCTGAGTTTGCTTTAGAACCTAGAAATGTTTGTCTTGGCCTTGCAACTGATGGATTCAATCCATATCGAACCATGAATAATAGTCATAGTATATGGCTAGTGGTTCTAATTTCATACAACCAACCTCCTTAGGAGTGCATGAAGCAATCTTCTTTTATTCTTTCTATGATCATACCAGAACAAAAATGCCAGGGAACAAGATAAATGTGTATCTACAACCTCTAGTGAAAGAGTTGAATGAGTTATGGACATAAGGTGCAGAAACTTATGATGCTTTTTTGAAAGAAGTGTTCATAATGCGAGTGGCTCTCATGTGGACAATTACTGATTTTCCTGAACTTTGTACTTTATCTGGGTGGAATACTTATACTGGTTATGCTTGCCCAACTTTTAATTTTGATACAACACCTTACCTACTAAGATGTAGTAACAAATGGTGTTTCATGGGTCATCGAAGATTTTTAGAAAGGAGTCATAAATTTAGATTGATGAAGAAACACTTTGATGGAACAATTGAGGAAAGAGGAACACCAAAATCATTATCTAGATTAGAAATCATGAAACAACTTGATGTCATAACCTTTTATAGTAATCTTCAGTCAAATAGTAAAGGGAACCAATGGAAGAAAAAAAAAAACATATTCTTCAATCTTCCTTATTAGAGAGATAATCGTTTACAACATAACCCTGATGTCATGCATATTGAAAAGAATGTATGCGATAATGTGTTATATACTATGCTCAAAGGAGAAAAATAAAAAGTGTTAGACAAATGACATCTAGAGGGGGTGAATAGATGTACAAATTAATTTAGATGTCAAATTAAAAATTTATTTATTTAAGATATCCAATGATTTGTTAATTCAATTTTAATTATCAAATAAAATACAGATAAAGTGGAGGCGATATAATCAGACAGATAAAGAAAAGGAAATAAGTAGATGTAAGCATAGAGGTATAATGAAGAGAAAAACACATAAAAATGTATATTGGTTCGGGTCAAGCCAATCCTACATCCAGTGTCATGTCTCCTTTAATACGGGAGAGACAACCTAATTCACTATCTTTAAAATTCAGTTTACAAATTACAATCAACCTTGCAGAAGAACCAGTAAAAAGTAAACTAATTAAAAAGACAAATACCTCTCTAGAATCTCACTAAAAATGAACACTTCCTCTAAACAAATCAAATGATGAACAGTTCCCACAAAGGAAATTCACACTTCTCAAGAATCACATTTGAGATGAAACACCTACTCTGTAATCCATAAAGGATGAATACCTCCCCAGGGATGAAAACACCTCCTTAAAATCTCACTAAGGATGAACACCTCCCCGAACAAATCAAAGGGAAGAAAACACCTCTTTAGAATCCTATTAAGGATGAACATCTCCTCTGAACAAATCAAAGAATGACCTCCTTTGCAACCAACCCACAAAGGATGAGCACCTCCCTAGAATCACACTAGGTATGGACACCTTCTCTGAACAAATCAAAGGGATGGAAACACCCCCTTAGAATCACACTAAAGATGAACACCTCTCCGAACAAATCAAAGGGATGACAATACCTCCTTAGAGTCCCACTAAGGATGAACACCTCCTCTGAACAAATCAAAGGATGAAAAACATCTCCTCTGCAACCAACCCACAAAGGATGAATACCTCCCTAGAATCACACTAGAGATAAAAACGAATATATTTTTCAAATTTAAACTGTCATAATCAATTATGTTACCAATATAATTGATTATGACAGAGAGAAAATTAATTTTTCATTTCTGATGCATCATAATCGATTATTACACTTACATAATCGATTATATGACTTATATAATAGATTATATCACTTATATAATCGATTAAGACAGTGAATGTAGACCCCAAATCTTGCTTGATCAAATCGTAGCTCTCAGAAATCCTCCATTTCGAAGATGGTTAAAACTCCATTAGGTTCCTAGTAGCATTCACTAGACTCCATTTAAGAATAGGAGAGATTTTTTGAGAAAATAAAAAAATAGAAAATTAGAAAACTTGGGACGGCCGTCCCACTTATTATTTAGGTTGGGACGACTGTCCCACTTTCTCAAACGGTCGTCCCACCTTCATTTAACCTTGGGACGACCGTCCCATTTTTCCAGACAGGTGTTCCACCTTTTTTTGAGTCTGGGACAGCCGTTCCACCTGACAAATGTCCATACGGCCGTTCCGGCCTGCCTGACACAAATTCCTATAAATAGGGGCTCATTTTCTACATTTTTCACATACTCTCACACTCTTCTCTCACCCTAGAAGGCATTCTAAGACCTTTAGGTGACTCTGAACATTATTCTGGAGACTGAGTGATCTTTTAGACACTCATGAGTTGAGTTTTCTTTTCCTTTGGAGGGAAGAGTGAAGGGATCTCCAAAAAGCATCCTCAAGTTTCAAGATTTTATAAAAGTTTGTTTCAGAGGTTCTTTTCTCTATTCTCTCTTTTATCATTTTCCTTTACTGTTTTCCTTTGTGTGTATTAAATATTAGAGTCATGTAGATAATTATTTAAATACCACGATAAATAAATAGGGTAAAAGCATAATCTCTAGGATCTTTATTTTTTGAATCAATCTATCATAGGGAACTCGAAAGGGGCGTTGTGGGGTACTAACACCTTCCCCACACGTAACTAACACCCTTACCCAACTCTGGTTATAATGACTAAAGTTGGTTTTTTTTTAAATCAACGCCTTCTTTTTTTTCCTTTTTCGATATTTATGGTTCAAACATCGATGGCGACTCCTTAGAACCCTTTTGTAAAAACCTCGCTTTCAAGGATAATTCGGTTATCGGACATCCGGAAAGTGATAATCAACTTACTTCATAAAAATGCGAGTTTAGTCATCATATCGCGACAATTCGCTTCTCTCTCGAAGACCCCTAAAAACGCCCCGATGCGTCTTTTCCGGGAGAGAGAGGGGACGACGATAGTAAAAATGTCATATTATGTTTATTTGATGATATAATCGATTATGACCCTCACATAATCGACTATAACAATGAAAAATGTCATATTATGAAATTTTATCACATGTGTGTTTTGGAGACTTATGCATAACACTACTTCATCAACTTGTACCTCCATATCTAGTGTTCTAAAACTCTATCTAGTCTTTATGTTTCATTTTGGGCTTGCTTGAATCATTATCTTCTTCAGAATATATATCTAGTCTTCAGGTTTTATCTTAGGTTTGCTTGAGTCTTGAATGGTGTTGACTTGAATCTTCATCAAAATCATCTTCTTCAGAATGTAGAAAAATGTTTGACATTACTATTAATCTTCCCATAGTGCTTTCAATCTCCCTAATCTCCCTCTTTTTTATGATGATCAATGAAACACCTGAAATGAATTAAAATGTTTGACTCTATATAGCCAGCTCAAGATTAGCACAATATATTTAAATCTCATATTAGCACAAGTATTTTAAACTCCCCCTTTCTTATATGAGCAAAACTCCCCCTTTAATTTAGAATTAAGAATGAATTTAATAAACAAATTACAAGAGAAAAAATCTCCCCTATTTCACACAAATTTTTAATATCACCAAAATTTCTCCCTATTTCATTGATAATTATGAAAAATATTACAAGGATATATATAATAATTAATTTTAAAATTAAATAATTTTTTTTATAATAAATATTTTTTTACTTAATTTTCTGTTTACATTTTTTTCTCTTCTTTTTATCTATCCTTTTATTTCACTCTCATTTTATCTTCTCACATTTCTATCCACTAATTCACTTATAGAATAAAAGTTATAAGTTTTTCTTAAATTTTTTCTCATTACTTTTTTCTTTCTTTTTTAAAGTTTTATATTTTGTTGTTTAATTTTTTTATCATTCACCTTTTATCTTCTCACATCTCAATACCACTAATTCACTTTATAAGAACTTAATAATTTTTAAATTTTTTTCTCAATAATTTTTTTCTTTCTTTTTAAAAATTTTATATTTTGTTCTTTGATTTTTTTTATCACCCTCTTTTATCTTTTCAATCTCTATACCACTAATTCACTCTATAGAATAAAATTTATAAGTTTTTTTCATTAATTTTTAAACTTTTCTTTCTTACAATTTTATTTTTGTTTTCTAAGATGTAAAAAATTAAAAATAAAGAATTATACAATAATTTTCTTAAAAAATAAAAAAAATTATAAATTATTTTTTTAATTATAATAAATTAGTATATATAATATAATATAAAAATATAAAATATTATATATTTTTTAAATAAATTAATTAGTTATATTTATGATATTTTATTTTAATATTAAAATGTAAACACAAATTTAAATATGTCTAAAGTTAAAATTATAAATTCATTTTAAAATTAGATAATAAATAAATTTAACTTTCTAAAATTTAAATATAAAATTAATATATTTATTTTTATATAATAATTAATTTTTATATATTAATAAAGAAATTAAAAGAATGTATTGGTTAAAGCATATTAACTGCTGCTAAAAAATAATTTATTTATTAAAATACGAGGAGCATGACTATCATGACTATAATATTTAGATTAAAATACGATGAACATGATTATCTAGATTAAAATACGACAAGCATGACTATCTAGATTAAAATAAGAGGAGCATGTATCAGGACTATGATATTTAGATTTCGAAATCATCCCATTTATTTTTTAAAATATTTCAATTGAAGTGATATTAATATAGAATTATTAAATTAATATTGAATTATTAAAAAAAATACAAAGAAAGATATATATTTTAATAAGCCAATTTTTATTTGTTGATTTAAGAAATAAAATATGTCTCATTAAATTAATTTATCTAATTGTTAACTCAAAATATATGGAACTAAGGTGTAAAAAACAATTTCGATAACCGTGGAGTGAATTGGGTTATACCGATTATATTTAGTGATAATGGAAACATATATTTTGTAAGCAATTAATTTTTTAATATATTATTTTCTTTTTAAAATCATGTAGCTGTTGGCATCTGAATTTGAGAAAAAGTGACGGAGTAATGCAAAGTTTATTTCCATTACATACTATAACATATAATATCAGGAGCAGAGGAAGAAGATGGACCCATACAGAGGTAGATCAAAACATCATACTCGCTCAGCACACATGCAGGCCATATAAATATATATGGCTATATATATAGGTACTTAGCAAAGTAACACCCCAACCCAACATCACATAGGTGTGAGTACTAGCAGTGGTGGTGCTATATTTATTTCTGATGACATTATTCATGAAAAGGGTTCTGTTGTGAAGTTCAACAGTTGAGTGTGCAATAGCAGCGTCGAGTGATGCCTTGGCACTTGCCTCCGAGGTAACCCGCGTTCTTGCATGAATGTGCACAGGTCGTGTCGAATAAGCATCTTCCCCACCCTTCTTTCTTTGTGAAGCAAGTTTTTGCTTCTCCTGTCTCCACAGCCACATCTAATTTCACATTACATTGCATTGCATCAAATGAATCAGTGAAATAATATCACATCATCAGAGTGTTGTTACCAAGGAATTATATAGAGTCATGTATGTATCTTACCAGAGGCTAAGACAAGGAGGAGCAAGAACAGTAAGCCGAATGTTTTCCTCTCCATGAGTGTTGAATGGTTTAGGTTGAAGTGAAGAAAGTGTGGCTCTTGAGGTGTTCTTATATAATGATAAAAGGGTGTAGTTGGAAGTGTTAGAGATGGGCTTAGAAGAAGATAAGTTTGACATGCAAAGCAAAACGTGTAGGTGGAAAAGGGTTATAAGCTGCCACGATAAGGTTGGTAGAGATGGAGGTCCAATATGAGAACAACAGAATGACAACGCACATTAATTTCGCATTCGGTGTCATGTCATTGTAAGGTGTGCTACTTCTTCATTCCTTAATCAGATTTATTACCTGCATCATCGGCGTCTACAAGATGCATCTTCAAATTTAATGTTTATCTGACCTCAGCCACCTTTTAAGAAAGTATTAAATAAATTAATTAATGATGTCTAAAAAGCAGACACTAAAACTTATTAGTGAATCAATGGTTAAATAGGAAATATTGAGGTATACATGCAATTATTGAGTGTATTTAATAAAATTCGTATTAACAAAACTATAATATACTGCCTTGACTTGAAATAAGATAATGTTTTTTTCTTTCATAAAATTTTTCTTTTAAATAAAACAAAAATCAGGAAAATTATATATAATTTTTAATGTATTTTGTTTTACGAGGATGAATTTAAAACGTAGCAGGCCATGGACACTTATATGGGTCTAATTTTAAGACTACTAAACTTAGCAGCCCATGCGATGCAGCTCTTCCACTCTTCTCCAAAATGATTGTCTATCCCAATTCTGATATGCGTTTGGAAACCATGCCTTTGACAAATCGCGATAAAAATATTATAACTATAATTAAAATATTATATTTTGTATATTATAATATTAAAATATATAAATATATTATAATATTTGCCTTTACTACCACTTTACTTCTACACTTTCCTGTATCATAGAATCCTTCTTTTGTCACTTGGTTAATACTTATGACTTCTCAGCACCCAAATCGACAACTCCTGACGTTAATAGAATGCAACCTTTAACTGATGAAAAATCAGAATTGGATTCCCCAGATCCCATTGCTCTTTTCTAATCTCTTTTTGCGTTTCCTTTAATCTCTTTTCTTTACCGCAATTTTTTCTCTCACTTCTTCACCCCAACATACATCAATCTTATATTGTTACTACTTTAAATCAACTTATTTATTTAATGTTTTATAAATCTTTTTTTAGTCTTTTAATTTTGAAAAAAATATTTTATAAGGTTTTTCAAAACCATTTTTAAAAATATTTTTTCTTTTCTAAATTTTAAAAACTAAGAAATTAAAATTAACAAGATATATTTTTAACGTAGCCTTTCTCTTCTCCATCTATAATAATTTTTAATTAAAAATATTAGATACTATCTTTTAATTTATTCTTAAATACAACTTCAAAATTTATTAAAACCAAATAAAATAAAACCTGAATTTGTGGTTTTTTACATAGTTCGATTTTTTTTTTAATACAATTCCAAATTATTCTTAAACTCTGACAATTATACGTGAAGGTAGTAGATGAACCGTAAGTGAAAATGGTTGTCAAGATTCCAAAAGATTGGAGATTTTTAGAATAAGGAAAAAAATTAATAAGATTTTTATCATTTTACTTGAAGAGTAAGAAACAGTGTTTTTCACTTTTTGTTGTATTTGTTTTGATCTAAACCATTTTTTTGAAGTCAGAGTATCCACTTGCAGAAGGAACGTTATTGTTGATCTGACAGGCATGATGAAGGAGGAATAAGTGGGAAGATGTTTTAGGGTTTGCCTGACTAAACAAACAAAAACATTTCCATAACTTTCCTGTCTGCCTGGTCTAAATCATGCTCCTCTGCACTTCATGCCTTAAAAGGATCAAAAGTTTGTTTCAAAAAAGAAGCCAAACAGTGCCTCAACAATTTTTAAACAGATCAAAAGCTACCTTGTTTAGAGTAATCACTGGTCTTTATGATGAAATTCGGTGCACAAAAGTTAAAGTACCCACCTTTCATTCTCTTCATATTTCTCAATTTACACATCACTCTTTCTTCATTGCTGTCATAATAGACTCTCTCTATTTAAAAAAGTATTTTTAAAATTGTTTGTTCTTTTACTGTAATATCATAAAAATATTTGCTCTTATTCTTTTACACTTTTCTCCTAATAAATTCGTAATTTTACTCTTAAAATGGTTGTATTGATAATTTTTTTTTACTTTTTAAAAATTTTACTTCAGTTTCTGAATTTAGCTATTCAATAAAGTTAAAGTAGTGCGATAATTTGATCTCATTATAAATTTCTTTCTAGATATGAGTAGAACTTTTACTTAGTTCTTTATTATGCACCTCTCTAAAATAACAACTAGTTGAGTATAATATTGCGAATTATATAATTTCTAATTTTAAAGAAATGAAATTAGAATTAAATATTCAATTTTGATATATGCACCGAAATGAAAATGTTCAGATCTAATTTTTAAGATTTGATTCGAACTCCAATTCTCAATATCTATCTTAATGGGACCTAGTTGTTTTTAATGATAAGGATAAGGACGCCAATAGATAGATTCCTCGAAAATATTTTCAACAAGAATAGATTTTAATCAATCAACCAAGTTGTAAAAGAAACCTTCGTCTAGCTTTCTAGCTTTCGTTTCAGACATATTTTAAAACATGTAAAAAAAACTGAATTTATTTCACAAATTACGTTTAGAACACCTAAACAAGAATCCAAATATGGTGATCTATGTTGGTGTATGAAAAAGTTAGTCATTCACAAAGCTGATCCACGTCTTAACCAATTTAAAAATGTGACACAGTATTACAGAAGTCGAAAGCAATGATAGACATTGAAATCACTTTTTTCCCTGATGGAAACACAGATCATGACAGCTTTCAAACACTTCATGCTTTAGGTGCAGACAGAGCGACATAGATAGAGGTCCCACCAGAATTTACATGATATTCATAACATACAAATGGGGCAACAACTCCCCCCATTATATGAATCAGAACAACTCAAAAGACACCCCAAATTGAAAAAGGGACCTTCATATTTATCTTCACTGATAACAACCACCAATAAATAATCATACCAAGAAAAACACAGAAACGGGTATATATAATTATATAATATGGTTGGACACATAATATTAATAACCATTAAAAAAAAAAAAGACAAAACAAAAACTTTATATTCATATATGAACAGCAGGAAAGTTATGATTCATCTTTGAAGCTCAGGTGTCTCGGTAAAAGTTGATGCAGCATTGTTAGCAACCAGTTCAGGTAAATTGTTCCCCTTCCCACTTGGACATACACATATTAATGATAACTCTAGTCTGAGGGGGAAGGTTTGGTCTTCAAGCGGTACAATAGCTTCTTCTTCTTGGAGCTTGTGTTGTCAATCGTGAGAACAACTTTTCCAGGTTCACCAACCTTAAAACTGTTGCAAAGGACTGGTTCTTCTGATGAGCCAACCTTTCTAGCCTTCTGAACAATTACTGTATAGCTTCCTTCTGAGTCTGGCACAAATTCTGCACCATAGCTTACTTCCCACCCTATTACTCTCAGCTCCCAAGAGAGTAAACAGTTCTGCATGTTCCCGTCACACATTCTCAAAAAATAAGTAAAATAAAACCATTATGCCAAACATCAAGGCAAACATGCTCATCATGTTTCTATCTATAATCATCAACTGCAATAATAAGGTACAGTGCAGGATTTTAATTGCTACACGTGGATTTTGTTGGCAGGTATATTTCCTATAACTGCTTCTAATAACAAGCTTAAATATGCAACCCTATACATTGATGGACATTAATGTCAAAATCGACATCATTAGGTGATTATCTAAACCTGATAGAGTTTATGGGCTGTGGAATTTATTTTGTCCTTTTGGACTTTTATTCTCCTCTTTATCCTACTTCCATGTTTTCTTTTTTTCTGATGTTTTCTTCCCGTGTTTTTCCTGATTCTTGGTGGCATTTGATTGAACATCAACTTCCCTTATCAATCATTATTGAAATATCTGACAAATTTAATATTCAAGGGTACTTTATCTTTTTTACAGACTAGCTTATTAAGCATCAAAAGTGGACCACGTTTTATTTGTTTACTAAACACGAGTAGAAATTTGGCCTTTTAGCAATATTGGGAAATACATGAAATAAAATTTGACTATTCCAACCTCTCTCCAATAGATAGCTAACGAAAGCAACTGGTTTTTATGTATATTTTTGTTTTCCTTTTTGTTTCAATTGGAGTGAACTCTTCCCAATCTTATTTTACTTATTCTTAATTTACTAATATAGTGTATTAATTAATTTGCTCCTGAAATTTTCTTCAAGCTTGCGGATTTTGTGGCATAAAATATTGAGAACAGGGAATCCTATGAAAGATTCCCCATTCCGATGTGGCATTCTTTGGATTCTCAAAAAAAAAAAAAAAAAAAAATCAACTCCAACAAAAAGCAATGGAAAACCCACCTCAGAAACTGAAAATTCCACAGTATGCTTTGCTGCGGGTCTCACTGTGATTTCTGTAACAGCATCTGTGTTTCCGAACTCCCCATCTTTGCTTAATCCACCGTACTTCACCGGAAGCTGCTCCGGAGCTATGTATCTGAAAGTGCCAAGAGACAAAAATCAAACCCATCAACAACCCAATGACAAACCAAACAGAAAACAACAAAGACTAAAGCAAATTTGAAACTTCATGTCCTCACCTCAAAAGGGTTTCCGTTGATTTGGAAGGCCCAGCAAAGACAAACTTACTCTTAGTCCTTTGAGTGAGAAAAGGGCTTATCATCCTATTCACTGCCAGGTACCACCATGGCACATTAACGAACACCTGAACCAAAAACACGACGATTTAGAATAACACACATTTGAATTTGACTAGCATTTGTATTGTTTGTGTTGCCTCACAATCTTTACACTTAATCAGTCCACTCTGTGCTGGGGAATCTAAGGAGCACCGAAAAGAATTAACAGACTAATAAGCAGGACTACTACGATAATCAAATACCACATCACACCCAGAATCTCAATTTGGAACAAGTACATACATACACTTGAATTTTTAACAATTTATCATTAAAATCAATGAATTGTAAAAGTATAGGGGAGTACCTGTTTGGCTACAAATTCAGGGTAATTGTCTTGAAGCAATTGTAGGGCATTTTTGGTGGCTTGTCTTAGTTCCCACTTGGCAGGTCCAGGAGAGTTCTTGAGATCATTGACTTGAACAATGGTGCAAATGCCACCAGGGTTGAAATCCAACTTCCTTATACTCTTTTCCAGGAATTGAATTCTCCACCTGAGGAACTTCTGCCTCTTCTCCTCATCAGAAAAAGTCTTCCTGTACAACTCCTTGTTCTGGAACTCCCCATATATGTTGTAACACACGGGGTGGCCCTCCTTATCAAAGCCATGCATGAACACCACCTTCTCCAACTCATCCCCCAGCTTCTCCTCCATCAGCTCTTCCATCCCAAACTCCTTCCTCCACCGGATCGTGTTCTTCAGCATGGTGAACGCCTCCTTCACTTTGAACTCTCTCGCGCGCAGAAACTTCAAAAGAATCACATCGCTTCTCTCATCTGCAAGAAGTGGCACCCCCCAAATGGAAACTACTTCAGGAGGAAGTGGCGTTGAAGCTTCCTCTTTGGCCTCCGTTCCAGGAGCTTTCTCTTCAGCTTGAGGCTGAACAGAAGAAGCGACAGCAACAACGGTCTCTTCGATGGCCTCCACAGTTTTTGCTCCATCATCATCCACAACAGCTTCTTCCTTCGTTTCCTTCACTTCCTCCTTCTTCTCTTCTTCTTTTTCGCCTTGTTCCTCTTTCTTCGTTTCAACTTGTTCTTCTTCAGTTTTCTCTGGGGCAGCATCAGTTTTAGCTTCAGTCACAGCTTCTTCTTGTTGCTGCTGCTGCTGTTGCTCTTCCTTGTCAGCAGTTGAAGCCGTTGGTGGTGGTGTCTTTTTTTCTTCTTTGGAGGAAAACTCGTGGTTGTTGAGAGCTTCTTGAACGAGCTTCTTGAGGTCTTGGAGTGCCTTGTTTTGGTTTTCTGAGAGGTCAGAAAGTTTGGTGCTTTCTTCCTTGAATTCAGGGATTTTGTCATCATTGCTGTTGTCATCAGCGTTATTGGGTTTGGAGAGATGAGTCTCGAGAGTGACGGTTTCCTCAACGGGCTTCTTCTCCGGCGCCTCAGACTCAGGTTGTGGTGGTGAATCTCTCTCAACAGGAACACTTGTTGGTGGTGGTGGTGGTGGTGGTGGTGGTGGTGGTGATGTTTTGTCTGCAGGATGAGGAACATCAGTTAGCACCACTTCCTCCACTTGCACCACGGACTCTTGAGAAGGTGGTGCTTGATTTGGAGCCTCCTCAGCCATATCAGAAGGGAAAAATGGGTAGTGAAGAAATGAGGAGAGGAAAGAAAAAGAGGGAAGAAAAGAGTATTGTGAATGAGAAGCGAGGGAGAGGGGGGTTATAAAGAGTGGTGGGGGAATTGGTGAGTCATGAGTGTAGTGGCGAGGGTGTCATGTAAGAGAAGAGAAGATCGTGTTGTGTTGTCGTGTTGTTGTGGTGTGTTGTGCCAGGTTGGAAGGAAGAACCTCAGAAGGTGGGACCAGCTTTGTTGTGCACATTGTAATGTAACGTTGTCATTAGGGATTATGAAAATCAACGGCGGTTTTGCCGGCTACACCATCTCAATTATCCAACGGATCATGGCCCTACTTACCAGTTACTCACCACTTTACAACCCATCTCTTTTCCGGTTTGAGGAGTGATAGTTTTACAACCAAAAATCATACATTTTTTTAAATAATTTATTTTTATTATTATAATAATGTATAGACTGATTTAATAAAAATAAAAATAAAATAAAATTATTATTATAATATTAAAACAAAATTATTTTGAGGAGTTGTATTGATTTGAATTGTTAAAGTATCATTTTTCTTTCCATTTTATTCTCACCACAATTTAATAATAATAATAATAATAATAATATAAGAATGATTATGCATGAGAAATAATGTAATGTTGTCATTAAATAAATACAATAACTTTATATAAGAAATAAAGATACTAAATGCATGAGAAATACCGCGTCTGGAGATTATGGCATAGAAGTTATGATTTATAGTTTTTACACCTTTTATTACCTTTCACATAATTCCATAAAATAAAACAAAATTTTATTCTTTACACGTATTTATACGCGTTTTTACAGTAAATTTATATCATCAGTTATATGTGGTTATACAGTAAAACTATATATTAATTATGATTTTATAATTACGTTTATATTATTTATATATATTAGACGCGGTTTTGTAATAAAATCTACTTATATTGCATCTGATTTTATATAAAAAATATATATTATTTAAGTATATTATATATAGTTTGACAATTAATTTATATTATTTAAGTTTATTAGATACCATTTTACAATAAAATTATATCATCTATATGTGTTACATATGGTTTCACTATCAATTTTACATTATTTAAACCAAACTTATATTATTTATGTGTCTTATACTCAATCTTACTATAAAATTCTCTCAACTAGTGGTGCTAAATGTGATTTTACAATTAAATTTATATTATTTAAGTATATTAGATGTACCTTTGCAACGATTTTTATATTATTTATACATATTATACACGTTTTTATGATACGTATATCATGTATATGTGTTACACGTGATTTTACAAACAAATTAATATTATTCAAGAGTATTATATGTATTTTTACAATAAATTTAAATTATGGACTTCTGTTACATATGATATTATAAGTAATTTATAATATTTAAATGTATTAGATGTGGTTTGGCCACCAACTTTATATTATTATGTGTACTAAACACTGTTTTACAATAGATTTATATTAACTAGGTCTGTTACACGTGATTTTACAAGCAAATTTACATCATTTAAATGTATTAAATGTGGTTTTACGACCAATTTTACATTATCTGCGCGTATTATATGCATTTTTTCAATAAAAGGTAAACCATATATTTATTACATGTAGTTTTATTATTTAATTTACATTTTTTTCTAGTAAACGGAGTTTGAATTAAAATTATATTATTTGAATGTATTAAATACAATTTATAGGATAATTTCATATTATTTACACATATTAAGAGTGTTTTTTAGGAAGAAAAAAGTGACAGGATGAATAATTTTGTCTATGAAAAGATGGTGGTGTAATTGATGAGAAATGTTTATACCTAAAAAGCAAGGACGTTGGTCGCACACTTCCACTTTGCAGGCCATTAAAGTGTCATAGTCATTTCTTCGGCCAATTAATTATAAACTTTAAACATTTCATATTCTTCTCATTGCGTCTTAATTTTTGTATGGACAGAGTGTGAAAAAGACCAAACACCATTCTCTCTGCCACCGTAAACCAGATAAGAATACATCGCATTTCTTTTTTAGCACCCCCATGTTTTCTAGTTGCACCTCCTTACATTTTAAAATCACTCTCTTGCCCTCACTCCTTTCCAAATACGTGGCTTGTTTCGTTTCGTGAGATAGTTCGTTTTGAATAACCAAAATTAAGTGTTTTGAATTAGAAGATAAAATAGATGAATTTTTTCGGATGGTGTTAAAAAAAGGGATAATTCGTTATAATCGGAATAAATTATTGACTTTAATCTATTATAATCAAAACTGACTGGTATATCAACTTGTTATTTTTTATATATTAAATATGCTTTTAATTATATAAATAATTTTATAAATTTTTATTTATTAATTAATATTTTTACTAAATAAAATAATAAAATAATTATATTTTTGTTAAAATAAATAATTAGAATCAATAATTTAAATTTATTTTGTCAGTATTTATTATTTAAATAATATATAATTTAATATTATATATAAAAATATAATATTTAAAATTTTAATTATTTTTTCTAATTTTAATATATAAATATTTTTAAAAAATATATTAATCTATTTATTTCACCTTTACTCCATCAAATTGATAAGTTAAACCAACCTACCAAAATAATTTAATAGATTAAAATTATAAACCTACTTTATCGGACAGAGATCTTTCAAACCTAACTTGTAGCTGTATCCATTAATTTATTTATTTTTTTATCCTTCCATGTAAACATTTTTTTCAGAAACCTACCTTTTTTTTTCTCAGTATTTTAAATGGGTTACAATAGAATATTTCGGCTTTTTTTACCAAACAGAATAAAAAAAATATTGTAAATCATGCAAGAAGGGACGAATTTGGCTTGAAAAAAATCATGTTTAAAGCACAAATTTAAAGATCAACATTAAAATTGGGCTTAGAAAGTTAGCACAATTTTAGTTGGTAAGTTAAAAAAAAAAAAAAAGTGTTAGGTAATACGAGTTTTACATATTTTGTTATATTGAATTCGTGCTACTTGCCCAAGTTTTTTTTAAATAGGATTATTTTTTTAATATATTATTTATAAAATAATTAATTTTGATTTTATTATTAATTTAATAGAAAATATAAATATTTAGAGAAATGTTGATAAATTTAATTGAGTATATTTATATTAAAATATTATATTATTTAAAAAAAAGTATTGTTGAAATAGGTAATTTGTATAATTATATCATTCATTTCAATTAAAAAAAAATTGGTTTATTTCAAACGTTGATGTCTATTTCATTTTGAATTTAATTAGTTGTAGATTTTCTTAATATTAGATTTCGATAAAAAATTGGACATGTATAAGTAAATCAATAATTTTCATTTCGAATAAGATGAAATTGAAATTCATTCGTCTTATGAATATTTTGGAACTTGTAAATTAGATCGGTAAATGCAATCAATTGTAAATGGCAAGAGGAACAAACAACAATAAGGTGAGAACAAAGGAGTTAAAGAATTTGAAATTCCTCACAATCACATCACCATTAATTTGATCGAATTGTGTAGATTATCAATCTTCGATGATGGGGATTTGATTAGTCTTATATGTTAAATTCAAAATTATCTCGATTATACCTTTGAACATGATATATCTGAGCACGTTGTTCGTTTTCGTTAAGCATGTAGTAACATGTTCTGGATACTTGTGTCCAGCTCGTAACATGTACTCTGCTTTCATGCCTCTATCCACAAATCAAGATTTAGTTATTTCAAAAGTTGTTTTTACTAAGGTAAATATTGGTAAAGCCCATGCTCCTTTGAGAATAGAATTCATGGATTTAACAAGATTTGTTATCATATGTTCATATCGTTTTCCTCCATCATAAGCTCGAGTCCATTTTTCCAGTGGAATCTCGTCTAACCAGGACATTTATTATTCAAAGTCAAACCTTAAAAGCATATAGTTTTGCTAAAAATGTGGGTTGTTTCATCTCATATCCAACACATAAAAATATAATTTCAGACATATGTTATTTAGAGAAAAAAATTGTGTAGGTTAGAAAATTTTACCTAGATTGATAACCTATCTTTTCAAATCAACATTTTTGAACTTTTTGTTGAAATTTGAGACAATATAATAGTACATTACACTGAGGTGAGATCATTCTAATCAAGATCTTTTGATTGTAAAGTTGACAATATTCTTGTGCCTTTATTTGTTATCATGTATAAATTATTTCGAGGCATAATGTAATGTCTTAGAAGTTGGAAGAACCATATCAATATCTATTTTGTTTCACCTTCCACAATTACAAATGTAAGTGGAAATATGTTTTTATTGTCATCTTGTGAAGTTGTAATCAATAACATAGCATGATATTTTCCTGTTATAAATATATGGTCAACTTGAACAATTGACTTGCAATATTTGAAGCCTTCTATATATAGCTTAAATGACAAGAAGATACACTCTAATATAAATGATGGACTATGAACATCATGCACTAAATGAGGAGAACAAATATACTGAATAATTGTACCAGGATTACTATTTTCAACAACTTATAACCATCTTGGAAGATCATTGTATAATTCGTCTCAATCTCCAAATGTCACAACAAGTGTCTTTTGTTTCACTACCCATGTTTTTTTGTAAGTCAATGTGTAACCATATCTGTCTTTGACTTATACAATCAAAGTTTTAATAAAAACGGAGAGATTTATTTTAACTAATTCAAAAATAATGTTAGCAATGACGGAAGAGTCTAAGTTTTGATTATCCGGATTTAACCTTCCTAAATGTTATTTTCGCTTGTATGGGTTAATTGATTAGACGATTGTATAATATGTATCAGGACATCATCATTCAAATACATTGCAGCAGAGGAAAAATTATCTTCTTCTTCATTAGTAAAACCTTCAACAATATATTGAATAATAGGTTTGTCAATTATCATGGACGAACTACCAACTTGAAATTTGTTTATTTAATTAAAAAAACTA